AGTGAAGATTAGCCAGCACAAAGACTGGTAGACAAGAACTGGTTGGGCTAAAATTGAACTTAGTCCCATCTCCCGTAATGTTTGTGTTGGGTGTATGGGACTTACAGCCCTTGAGTCAGGTGGGGGAGAGTGCCTTGTACACTGGTCTTAGCTCTTTTTTTCCTTCTCTGACCTCATAAAATAGCTACAGCAAAGTTCACCTGGGAGTCCCACCTGCCCAAGGACCAGGGAACTTCCTGAGATTCTGAGAGTTGGAGTTCTTGGAAAATAACAATAAAGCCTCACGGGAAAGTATGGTGACCTTTGGGTTTTGTTTGTATAAGCCCTTCAAACACGTGTCTCGGCCACACAGCTGCAAAGTGTCTAAATTTGGTCCTGGCCAAATTCCATCTTGGTCAGTATTTATCATTTTTAATAAAAGCTTGCTTAAAATTAGCCAAAATGGTGGAACTGTTTTGTTTTGTATTCTGGTGAATGTCAGGAATAACAACAGCTTATTTTTATGCATTGGCAGTCTACAAGTACATTCTCCAAACCTGTGTACTGAAATTAGGGACTTGTAACTCTTAATAATATTTAAGACTGCCTGTACCTGCTACTGGTATTATCAGTTTGTCATCTAGTCTTATTTGTCCGGTTGTATGTGTGGATGGCTTTTAGATTGCTTCTTGAAGATTGCTAAACACTTTATTTTTTTATTTATTTAGTTTTTGTTTTTCGAGACAGGGTTTCTCCGTAGCTTTGGAGCCTGTCCTGGAGCTCGCTCTGTAGACCAGGCTGGTCTCGAACTCACAGAGATCCGCCTGCCTCTGCCTCCCGAGTGCTGGGATTAAAGGCGTGTGCCACCATCGCCCGGCTGCTAAACACTTTAATCACTTGTACTTGATTGTGTAAATTGGGCTTCCATCTAAAATATTCCTTGGAGAAAATGCTATGCTGTGAAACACATTCAAAGAACTCTACCTTGTGTCCAGTCAGTAGACATGTCCAGGTGTTTCCTCTTTTTGATGTCAGCTGCACAGTTCTGAAAATGTATTTTAAAATTTGTAATATAAAAATGCCCAAAGCCTAAAAGCATGCTCAGTGAGTTTTCCCTAAGTTCATACATCTGTGAAACTGCCATCCAAGTTCTGGTAGCCCTCTAGGTGTGTTTCTTCCTAACCAGTATCCCTCCCCCAAAGTGACCACTGTGGTGACTTCTAGCTTTTGCATAATATACTTTGTTGAAAGCATTCCTTTTGCACACTTATGTGTAAATCTTACAGTTATTATGGACTGACTTAGAGATGCCCCCTACAGGCTTAGGACACTTATCTGCCAACTGCTGACACTGTTTTGGGAGGCTGTGAATCTTTTAGGAGGTCGAGCCTAAGCTGACAAAAATAGGTCACTTGCAGTGGGCCTTTTGAAAATTATCCGAACCCCTGGTTCCAGTCCTACTCCCTGATCTGTGGAACAGAGCACTACAGTGTGAATCTGCATCACTTGTCCCTGCTACCCTGCCTTCCTTCTTCTGAAGGACTAGAAAGCCTCTGGAGCAGCCAAAAGAAGTCTCTCCTCCCTGATGTTGTTTCTGTTGTATGTTTTGGCCACACTAATACCAAAATAGTTAATATGGTGATTTTTGACGAACCAAAAATTAGAACCTTAACAATCAATCAAGTAGTTTCGGAGTATTCACCAGAGAAGATTGCTGGATCATGGATTTAATCCAATAGAAAGCCTTTGTTAGCTGGACTGCAACTATACTAAGTGCTCGGGATCCCAGTGTAACCCTGAGCCTTTTTCGCAGTGAATATTTTTAAAAACCATGTCCTGGGTTGACATACTTCAGTTAGCAAGAACAACTAGCCAGGCCCAGGTGGTGGTGGTGGTGCCCGCCTTTAATTCCAGCAGAGACAGGTGGATCTCTGTGAGTTCGAGGCCAGCCTGGTCTACAGAGCTAGTTCTGGGACAGCTAGGACTATTATACAGAGAAACCCTGTCTCGAAAAACAAAATAAACAAAACAAAACAAAATAAAAAAGAACAGCTAGCCAGAAGTGGAGCTACAGACTCTAAAAAGCAAGGTTAGGACATTTAGGCTTGCCCAAAGTCATGGACTTGGATGGGTTAGGCCTTTGTTTTAGTTTTGGCAGGTAGTGCTGTCTGTGTGCTGTTTTACAGCTTGAATGGCACTTCCACCATGGAGTCGGTTTTGCTAAGGTCTGGGGCCCTTTAGAAAATAAGCTTTTACATGTGAGGCATGGTGTCCTGTACTAATCTCAGTGATGGGGAGGCAGAGGCAGGCAGATCTCTGTTTGAGACCAGCCTGGTGTCTACATTGGGATGTCCAGGACACCGAGGGCTCTATAGAGAACTGAACCTGGGTCCTCTGCAAGAGCAGCAAGTGCACTTAACCACTGAATCCCTTTAAAACTTTTCTTTTGTTGTTTTTTCAAGACACCTCTAAAACATTTTAATGGGACTTTTTCATTGTGAATTACCAGCCATGCACTTACCATTTCCTGTTTTCTAGTACCAAAGTTCAGAAAGGAATGGTCCTGCTTCATGGCCAGGCTTATGCAGCCTCCCTTTTATTCAGAGACTCCATTTCAAACAGTACTTACCATGCATGTTAAGTGCAACATGGTTTTAATCATGTTTTATTTCTTTTTTAAAAGTTTGTTGTTTATTTTTGAGGTTGCATTTTAATTACAACATTTCTCTCTTCAAATCCTCTCATACATTCCTCCTTGCTCTCCTTCAAATTCATGGCCTCTTTTTTCATCAGTTGTTATTGCAGGCATATATGTATTTGTATATTCATATATAATCCTAAAAACAACCTGTCGAGTCTATATAATTTTGCTCATACATATGTATGTATATTTGTATGTATGTATGCATGCATATCTTCAGGGCTGACCATTTGGCACTGGACTACCGATTGGGTGCTCTTCCTGGTGGGAATTGCCTCCTCCCCTCCCAGTTTGACTGAATTGTAAATGCCGTCCTCACAGGGATCCGCTTGCCTCTGCCTTCTGAGTGCTGGGGTTAAGGGTGCCTACCAACGAGGCTTTTTATTTTGATACAGGATCTGACAAAGCTGTCCCAGCTGGCTTGAATTTGGGATACCCTCCTCAACCTCTTGTGATGGTAGGATTATTGGCCTGTACCACCAGGCCTGGCAGATCTTACTGTGAACGCCTGTTTGTTGGGATGTGCCGAAAGAGGAACTATCTTCCGTAGTTTAGACATAGAGCAAACTGGGATGCAGTTCCCTCTGCAGTGATTTCATTTTGTCTCCAGACGAAACAGGTGAACAGCACTCTTAACTCCTGCATTAAGATAGCTTAGGTGCTGGGCTCTCCAGGGTGGGCACCTTTGCAGAGACAAAGATAGGAGCTACTCTGATCCTCAGGGAGCTGGCGAGTGACCATGCCTGGCAGGTGATTTTGAGAGGTTTTGTATTTTTCTTGAATTAATCTTTGAAACATTGACACTGCTGAGGTGGTTGGTTGTGTTAAATGTATGACTGTGTCAGATAATGTAAATGTATGCTGAGTATTGACGTCAGGGACTATGAGTGCTAGTTTAGAAAATACAGTTTTGGAATAGGTAATACTTCAGTTTCAAAAGGCATGGAGTTTACCGTGTGCAGCAACCAGAGTCGCTTTCGCATTTCCAGGTATTTGCTTTTTGTTTACTTGTTTTGAGACAGGGCCTCTGTTCAGCCCTGGATGGCCTGGAACTCACTGTGTAGGCCAGGCTGGACTGGAATTCAGAGATCTGCCTCCTGCCTCCCAAGTGCTGGGATGAAAAGCGTGCGTCATCATTCTTGGCAAGTGCCAAGTTTTAAAAAAATTGTTTATTAATTGTGTGTGTGCATGCTGCCCCAAAGCATGTGTGGAGGGAAGTCAGAGGACACCTTTTGGAAGTTGGTTCTCTTCATAGGTTCCAGGGATCGAAATCAGTCTGTCAGGCTTTTTCCTACTGAGCCATCTTCCCCAGTGCCTAGTGTTTGTAGTTATCCTATGTAATAGTAATAGCTGTCAAGATAAGTACTCTCATTATTGTATTTTACAAGTATGGACCCAAAGACATCTCAGTCTTAGTAACATATAATTATAGAATGTGTTTTCCCTACCCTACCTACTTACTTATTTTTTTTTACTTGAAAATAGTTTTTTTTTTAAATTATTTATTTATAATGTATACAGTATTCTGGCTGCATGTTTTGCCTGAACACCAGAAAAGGGCATTAGATCTCATAGTAGATGGCTGTGAGCCACCATGTGGTTGCTGGGGATTGAACTCAGAACCTCAGGAAGAGCAGTCAGTGCTCTTTACCTCTTGAGTCATCCCTCCAGCTCCTTGAAAATAGTTTTAAACTTAGAAGTTGCAAGCATCACCATTCAGGAAGCAGAGACAGGAGAATTCATGCATGCACACACATACACAAGAAAAAAGTTTTTTAAAAAAGGAGAAAGAAAGGGAATGGGTAAAGGACATAGCTCAGTTGGGAGAGAGTGCTTGCCTAGCATGCATGAGGCTTGCCTGGGTTCAATGCCTAGCACCTTAGGCCCACGCCTGCAATCCCAGGAAACAGGGAGAGCTGGCTTTTAAGGTTATCCTGGGCTATATATTGAGTTCCAGGTCATCCAAACTACATGGATCCCATCTGAAAAAAGGAGTCAGAGATGAAGGAGGAGGAAGATGAAGAAGAAAGAAAAATGTAAAAAAATGGAATAAAGTATTCCAGAAATCCTGTAGTTTTCATTGTTGTTCTTTTTGTTGCGGTTTTAATGTTAACAAAGGAAATCAATTATTGCCCACTCCATGCATTTTGGGCCAGAATATTGTAGAAAATGGTTCTGTATTCTTCCTGATGCAACCACACAGGTGGCACACAGTTTGTCCCATTAAATAGAGACGGGAAAGGAAGAATGGGGATGGAAAGAAAAACTTCAGTTTGCATTTCAGAGAGAACTGTATTTAGCAAATGCCATTTTATTCTAGCACCCTGGTGGGGAAGAGGTTCTGCTGGAACAAGCTGGTGCTGATGCAACAGAAAGCTTTGAAGATGTTGGCCACTCCCCTGATGCCAGGGAAATGCTAAAGCAGTACTACATTGGTGATGTCCATCCGGTAAGAACTGTCATATAACTTAGTCACTTGTGCAGAGAAAACTCCTGGACAGCCACTAACGGGTTGGGAGAATGACTTACTCAGAGTAGATGTTTATTCCGCCTTGCTCGCATACCTGATTTGCTGCAGAATCATCAAGCTCTCCTTTGTATCAGAAAAGCCAAGGGAAGTGGTTTTTGTCTTTTATTTACTGACTTATGTAATTAATGACATCTGTTCCTAAAATAGTAGTTTGGTTATTCTTGCAAGTCTCTGCTAAAGGTATTATCTATGGGCTTGTAAGTCCTTTGTGCTTGGCATTCTGGTAGTGGATCCTGATATGCTAAAGGGTGGCTCTGGGCCCCTTCTTCAGACCCTGAAGTCTCTGAAAGATAGGAACTAACAGAACACATTGCTAGAGTTCATTTAGATCCATCTTCAACATTGTTCTTTCTCTTTTTTAAACAGAGTGACCTTAAACCTAAAGGTGATAAAAAGGTAAGAAGTTATTACTTTGTCTTGTGTGCTTCATGTATTTCTTCCTTTCTTCTTTCTTCTTCTTCTTCTTCTTCTTTTTTTTTTTTGGTTTTTCGAGACAGGGTTTCTCTGTAGCTTTGGAGCCTGTCCTGGAACTAGCTCTTGTAGACCAGGCTGGTCTCGAACTCGCAGAGATCCGCCTGCCTCTGCCTCCCAAGTGCTGGGATTAAAGGCGTGCGCCACCACCGCCCGGCCGATATTTTGTTTTTTGAGACAGGGTTTCTTTGTGTAGCTTTGGCTGTCTTGGAACTAGCTCTAGTAGACCAGGCTGGCCTCAAACTCACAGAGATCCACCTGCCTCTGGAGTGCTGGGATTAAAGGTGTGCATCACAACTATCTGACTTTTAAAAATAATTTTAATAAGAGAAGTAAAAATGGGCAGTAGAGAAGGCTCAGTGGATAAGAGCACTTGTTGCTTTTCCAGATGACCCAGGTTCGATTCCCAGCACCTACACGATATAGTTCATAATTGTCTATAACTCCAGTTCCAGGGGACTTCTTCTGGCTTCTGCTGGCATTGTATGCACATGGTGCACAAATGATTCATGTAGGCTGAACACCCAGACTCATAAAATAAAAATAAAGGCTAAAAAAATAAAAAAGAGAGAGCCTGAATATGGTGGCACATGCTTTTAATCCCAGCACTTGGGAGGCCTAGGCAGGTGAATCTCTGTGAGTTCAAATTACTTTTATCTAAGCCAAAATTCTATTTTTAAGGAATTTGGACTTTACATATGCCAGGACAAAAGGATAGTTAAGTCTTAAAAAGAAGGAAGCATTTTAACATTTTGGTTTTAAGCCTAGACCTTAATGCTGAGCCATCTCCTCTGCCTAGTAGGAAGCATTTTGTTAATGCTTTGTATGCATTTTTATTGAGACTCCAAAGCGTGTTTATTGTGGTTTTGGAAGAAATTAGGTTATGGGTTCAGTTTGGGAAAAATCTTATTCTTACTTCTATAAAACAGATGATAATGCTCTGATTAAATTTTTTTCCTGCACAGTATCTTCTTTATGTGTCAAACAGAGGCCTTTATTTCTGTTCCTGTTTCCCCAAATTAATTTTTTTAATGCTGTATGCTCAGATTGTCCCATGCCCTTCCCAGTTTGCTCACTGATGCAGCCAAAACAAAAGATTCAGCATTTGAGTGTTTGAAAACCTTAATGTGCTTCATCTTGTACCAAGAAGGAAGCTTGAAAGCCTTTTCTACTTCCCACAAGCAGGGTGGTGCCATTGCCTTTGTTCTCTTACAGTTTTCTGTGTCTTCTCCTTTAGAAGATTTTTCACTGCCCTCTGACCTCAAGGGAGAGCAGTCTAGGTGGTTCGTAGCTCATTGTGCACACAGCAAAGACTCCTTCTTCCTCCTTCTAGAATCTCATTCTTCATTGAGCCAGGAAATAATAAACAGGTTTGGCACAGCAATTCAAACTGGCCTTGGCACAAGAATTCTTTCAATTCAAGAGATTGCTTGCTTGGCAGTGTCTGCCTTCTGTTGCCCTGAAATCCAGGTTTTTTTTTATATAAATCCACGCTCTGTCCTGCTTCCCTACTACTCTGGAGTGTTAGATTACGAAAGGCAGATGACATGGCTCTTTAACATTGTAAGCACTGGGTTGTCTTTGTCTTTCCCACCTCACACCTGCCTCATTCTCAACTCCTCTTGTGATATTCAGGTAAGAGTTGAGCTAATCATGGTCTTAATTGAACATGTTGAAGAAATGCCACTCTGAGTCTATTTCAGTCAAAGGATACTGTGATGTTTACAGGGGAAACCTTCAATTTAGAAATCCTCACTCATTTCCTCACAGCAATCATGAAGCACTCCTTATGTTAAAACAGTAGAAACATACTTTTGTAGTTACCATGTCTAGAGATCTATCAGTTATTTCTTGTTGCTGGTTTTCTTCCTTGGTAATACAGGAGGCAGGAGTATGTGGGAAATGGACAGCAGTGAGATTCTGTTCCCTGCATCAACCTAAATTGGGATCCCCTGGAATGAAAAAGAAAAGAAAAGTCAAGTGCTCATTTCCTGGGCTTTCACTCTCCTTGTTCGGAATCTCTGGAGTCCAGCTGGATTTGTGTTTTGAATAGCCTAGGTGATAGGAAGGAGGCCAAGCACACGTCAGAAGAGATTGATTAGCTGACATAAACCTGATGCTCTCCTCCTCCAGCCGGAAGTATAGAAAAAAGCCTCCTCAGCTCACCAAGTGGGTATGATCATTTAGAACTACAGCTGTAGTGTAGCCTCTTCCTAGGTTAGGGAGGGACCGAAAGCTGGGCTCTCAAGCTTGTTTTTCTCCAGCTCCTTGTCCCTGAGGACATGTCTCCATTAGGATGATTCTGACTGTTGTTTGTTTCAGTCAGGCTGGCTGTTACCCTTCAGGCAGATTAGGCAAAGAAAGCCTTTTGGAAAAATTTCAAGACTACCTACCAGGTTTTCATGGAATTATATTCCAGACTGATTTCATTTCCAGGAAGAAGTCCTTGATCCCTCAGGTTGGTTTCTATGCTTGATGTTAAGCCAGAGGCTGAGAAATGACGTGGTTTCTCAGAGACTGAGGTAGATACTTCTGTCCTAGGATATAGGCATCTCTTTCCTTCACTTTTTTATCTCTGGCTAAACATTCACTGTCACGAAGTGGGAAGAAAGCTCATTTTATTAATTAGTTTCCTTTCTTGTGGTTCAGGGTTTCTGACTCTGTAAACAGAGTTGTCAGTTTTATAGGGTAGAGTTTTAGTTTTAGTAGTGGAAGAGAAAGAGATGGGCCTGTGCTGGCAGTGCTCCTAAGGTCTCCTAGGCAAGAAGCTTGTTTCTTCTCCTGCTGGTCAAAATGCCTTGGCTCACAAAACTGTGCTGGAGTAGTGATTTTAGAATTTAAGTTCATCTGAATCTTCATTCTATAAACAACGAAGCCGAGTTAGCTCTGAGCTGGAAGATACTATATAATTCCAGTTATGAGTAGATTTATAAAAAGTTTACTTGGGATTGGAGAAATGGCACTTAAGACCACTAGCTGTTCTTTTAGAGGACTGGGGTTCAGTTTCCAGAGCCTACATGGCAGCTCACAACTGTCTGCTAATTCCAGTTTGAGGGGATCCAATGTTCTCTTCCAGTTTCCTGGGCATTGGCCCATGTCATGTACACACACACACACACACACACAGACACACATATACAGGCACACACTCATACACATAAAATAAACAGAAAAACCTTTTAAAAAGTTTACTTGGTGTGCTGGATAGTTTTATGTCAGCTTGACACAAGCTAAAATCATCTGAAAGGAGAGAACCTCAATTAGGGAAATAGCTCCATTGGATGTAGGACATTTTGCTAATTAAAGTTTGATGGGCTCAGCCCATTGTGGTGCCATCTCTGGGCTAGTGGCCCAGCAAGTCATGTGGAGTAAGCCAGTAAACAGCACCCTCCATGGCCTCTACATCAGCTCCTGCCTTTAGGTTCCTGCCCTGTGTGAGTTCCTGCCCTCCCCTGCTTTTGATTATAAACTGTTATATGGAACTACAGACGAAATAAGCCCTTTTCTCTTCAAATTGCTTTTGGTCATGGTGTTTCATTACCACAGTAGTAACCCAACCAAAACACTTGAACATAAAATATTTTCTTTTACCCTACAACTCCCATCTTTAGTATTATTGTTCATAAAAGTATATTTGAAAAACAGTATATATATGTGTGTGTGTGTGTGTGTGTGTGTGTGTGTATTAATTTTATGAGGAATTAAACCTGTTAATACCTTGTGCTTTGGGACGGAGTTTCATTTTAAATTTTGTGTGTTGTGTTTGTGTATGTTTTGTGGATGTGTGCACACAAGTGCACGAACATACGTTTATATACTTGTGGAGGACAGAGGTCAATATTGGGTGTCCTCCTATATTGCTCACCACTTATTTATGTTTGAAACAGAGTCTTTCATTAAACTCAGAGCTCATTGATTGGCTGCAGTAGCTGGCCAATGAGCTTTGGGGATCTGCTTGACTCCATTTCCCCAGCTCTAAGGTTATAAGCACATGTCAGCTTGTCTGGCTTTTACATGGCCTCTGGGAATCCAAACTTAGGTCCTCTTGGAGCAGGCAGTTTACTGACTAAGCCACACCCTTAGCCTAGGAATCAGTTTTATTTGAGCAGTCAGTTTGTTTTGTTTTGTATTTGAGACAGGGTCTTGTGTAGCCCAGACTGGCCTTGGACCCTTAATCTTCCTGCCGCTGCCTCCCAAGTGCTGTATTACAGGAGTGCCACCATGCTCAGCCAAGCAGTTGATTTTTATTGTTAATAACATTGGGCTAAAATAATAGCATACTCAGATTTTGTTTTGCAAGTATATTCCTTGGAAAATAAAGAAGCATCATATTGCTTATGTGGTAGTCCTTCCGCTGGACTACTTACATTAGAATGATCTAATGTAAGTGAAATCTTAGTTTCCATATAAAAGGCAGAGAGCACTAACATCTGGGCATAGACTTACTCAGCCAGATGTGCCTGAAGACCAAAAGAATAAACTAAATTTGTCTGTAGCCTGTAGGACTTTCATTTAAGTCTAAATCAGATTCAGCAGAGTTTTGGTATGGAGATAAGGATTATAGGAAGTGTGTGAGAAGGCAAGAAAGTTATTATATTTTTTTCTTTTTAGTTTTATAAAATTGAGAAGGAATTGAACAACAGAAACCAAACTAAACAAAACTAGGACTTGGCTGTTAATAGCTGTGCCTTATGTATCTCTCTTATTATTTTTGACTAAAAGGGGGGCCACAGCTTAGCATTTACTTTGGTGTCTGTCCTGAAGAAAATGGATGCTTTCTCTTTTCATTTCTCCAGGATGTTAGGCAATTTTTTTTTCTTTTTCTTTTTTTTCCCCCCCTGGGAATGGATTGCTCTTAAAACGGATATTTAAAGGTATTTAGTTAAAAAGACATGACACATTATATTATTTCTTGTTTGTTAGGAATGATTACTATCTCAGCATATTATAGGCTTAGTGCTATACTCTTTCTCTTTACTATGATGTAGTCCATGACTTACTGTAGCTAGCACATATTCAAAATATTGGTTGTAAACAGTACAAAAGGTTTGACATGTAGAGACTCCACCTGTGTGTTCTCAGGATGGAAGTATGTATTTATCTGTGTGACAGTGTTTCTAGTTCGCTCATGTACAAACACACTGTTGAGTACTAATTGCAACCAACTTTATAACAACTTGATCATTGCAAAAAGGAGCCATGAACCTATTACCAGCCATATTCCATTACCTCCCAACCCCTCTTGCCAAACCTAAAGCAACTGCTGATCTCCTTCTCTTTCAATTCATTGTCCATATAAATGGACTTATATAATAGATGGTCTTTTGTGTCTGCCCCTTTTCACTTAGACTAGCATAATGTTTTGAAGGTTCATCCATGTTGTCACATACATCAGTAAGTAATTACTTTTTTATCCCCAAGATTTTATTTATTTATCTTTATGTGTTTGGGTGTTTTGTTTGCATGCATGTCAGTGCACCATATGCATGCCTGGTGCTTGTGAGGCCAGAAGAGGGCATGAGATTCCCATGGAACTGCAGTTACAAACAGTTGTGAGCCACTATGTGAGTACTGGGACTTGAACCCAGGTCCTTTGGAAGAGCAGCCAGTGCTCTTAACTGCTGAATCATCTATCCAGCCTCCAAAAATCTAAATTTTAAGATTATTTGGATCAAGTACTGCATACTTGTAATCTGAGCACTTAGGAATCCAAAGCAAGAAGAAGGGTCTTGAGTTTAAGGCTAGCCTGGATTATACAGAGCGAATCTGTCTTTTTTTTTTTTTTTTTTTTTTTTAAGATTTGTTTAGTATTTTCTTTCCTTTAACTACTCTTCCCCTTTTAATTGTTAAATAATCCTAGGTTGGAGAAATGGCTCAGTAGTTAGGAGCATTGCTTGCTCTTGCAGAGGACCCAGGTTCTAGTCCCAAGAACCATATGGAGGTTTTCAAATGTTTTTAATGCCAGTTCCAGGGTGTCCAACACCCTGCTCCTGGTGCACATATATATGTGCAGGCTAACACTTATACACATAACATTAAATAAGTCCCAAGAGGAAAAAAAAGTTAAATAATCCCCCAAATACTTACTTAGTTTCAGTTTCAAAGAGTAAGCAGGTCATCTCTGTAAGCCGTGAGGTGGTAGTCTACAGGGCTGAGAGCATTTGGCAGCTCATCATTTTGCAGAAGAGATCTGAGGACTTTAAAAAATGTTTTCAGAAACTGTGATCTTAGTTGTGCTGTGCTAAGTCCAGTTAAATAGCTTGTCATTGTGACCCAAAATATAAGTCCATTTCAATAGAGGGTTTTGTTTTTTTTTTGTTTTGTTTTTCTGCTTTATTTTTGCTTTATTTTTCAAGACTGGGTTTCTCGGTGTAGCCCTGGCTGTTTTGGAACTCGATTTATAGACCAGGCTGACCTTGAACTTACAGAGATCTGCCTGTCTCTGCCACCTGAGTGCTGGGATTAAAGGTGTTCATCACCACTGCCTGACTTAAATAAACTTTTATCATTGATATTTTTACATATAAAAAGCTTAGGTCATTTCTATGTTCTCTTTAGATTTCTGTGTTCTCTTAGATTATTCACTAAGAAATACCAATGTCTTATTAGAAATAAACGATTCCAAGTCTACCCATTATCTAGAAACTATAGGAATCACATTCGTGAAGGAAATTCTGTTACTGTTTATAGTTTATCTGGATATCCAAGGAGACTTATGTGCATTGTACTAATGATCTCTTTCTGTTATTTTTGAACATGTGACTTCTTCAGGATCCTTCAAAAAGCAGTACATGCAAAAGGTTAGTATCTCTCTGATGGACTTCCTTACACTCTACATAATGTCTCTCAAGAGGTTCTTTTTACGTATGTGTGTTTGGAGCTGGAGAGATGGCTCAGCAGTGAATAACACTAGCTGTTTTTCTAGAGAATCTGGGTTTGAGTCCCTACACCTACATGGTGGCTCACAACCATCTCTAACTCCAGCTCTGGGGGTGTGGGGTGGAGGTGGGATCTGATGCCCTCTTCTGGTCTGGTTTATGGGGCATTAGGCATGAACATTATAGACAGATATATAGGCAAAATACCTGTATGCATAAAATTTTAAAAAAGAAAAACCAAAGCAAAGATCTGTGCAGATACAAGCAGCAGTAATTTCTTTTGGGGAGGGAGGGGTATTATTTTTTAAAAAGGATATGAAGTTGGGAGGGACACAAAGTGGAAGCCCGAGGGCAGTGCTTCTCCTCCTCTCTGATGCTGTGACCCTTTAGTACAGTTCCTCTTGCTGTGGTGACCCCCAAACATACAATTGGGTTTTTTTGCTACTTCATAACTGTAATTTTGCTACTGTTGTGAATCATAATGTAAATATCTGTGTTTTCTCATAGTCTTAAGTGAGCCCTGTGAGAGCTGCTGACCTTGAGAGTTGAGGGGGTAGTAGTGGATGGGTATCACCAAAATATATCATGAGTGTGTGAAAGTTTCAAAGAGTCAGTGTTGCTTTTAAAAGAATTATTATCCAAAATGCATAAAAAATCCTGCAAATAAAGTTTTAAAAATATCTCAATAGAATATGCAAAAGATTTGCATTTAAATACTTTACACAAATACAAGTGTAGCTGGAGGTTTCTCTCTCACCTGCCAGTTCCCAAAAAAGACTCAGAGGCTTAATATTAATTACAAACTATTTGGCCTATTAGCTCAGGCTTATTAGTGAGCTCTTACAACTTAAATCAACTATTCTATATTTTATGACGCTTATGGTTTGTTACCCTATATTTTGCTTCTCTAGTGGCTGCTGGCATCTCCCAGACTGCCTTCTTTCTCCCTGTATCTGTTTGGATTCATAGGCCAAAGCACCTTCTTTATTAACCAGTGGTAAAATATATTCACAGCATACAGAGGGATATCCCATATCATACAAGCAAGTGGGTAAAGGTTTAATGTCATATCATTAAAATGATAGGTCTGGCCAGGTGGTGGTGGCACATGCCTTTAATCCCAGCACTCAAAAGGCAGAGGCAGGCAGATCTCGGTGAGAGTTCGAGACCAGCCTGATCTACATTAAGTGAATTCCAGGACAGCCAGAGCTGTTACACAGAGAAATCCTGTCTTGAAAAACAAACAAAACCAAACCAAAACAAAAACAAATTATAGGTCTCACCTATATGTAACCTAATATTTCACACCTAATATGTAGACAGATGTTCCTACATATAAGAAGACTTGCTTATTAGGAAGTAAGTTAGTTACCAAGACTCTTATCCTCTTCTGGGAGCATTCACTTTGAGAACATTTTGGCAGTATCTAGTAAATAACTTTTGACCTAACGATTGCATTTCTATTGGACCTGCAATAGAAACATGTCACAAGTCAAAGCGTAGTATGCCTGCCTTGTAGTCCCAGCTGCTAGGACGATTGTTTGACCCAGGAGTTTTGAGACCAATCTTGGCAACATAGTAAGGCTATCATCCAAGAGAAAAGTACAAGGAAACAGAGACACAAATGTTTATAGCTAGGGCTAGAGAGATGGCTCGGTGGTAAGGAGCATTGTCTGCTCTTGGGGAGGACCCAGGTTTGGTTCCCGCATCCTCATGGCAGCTCCCTGCTAGCTATGTAACTCTAGCTCTAGGGGATCTGACACCTTCTGACTTTAGAGTGCCAGGAACTCATGTGGTGCACATGCATACATTCAGACAAAACACCCATACACATAAACTAAATAAATGGTAAAAAATTAAAAAAAATGTTAGATATGAACTAAAACTTGAGAGGAGAGGCAGGTGAATGTCTGTCAGTTCAAGATCATCCTGGTCTACTAGTGAGCTTCAGGCTAGTCAAGGCTGTATAGTCAGATCCTGTCTCAGAAAAAAAAGGATGTTTATAGCAACATTTAAATAATGTCTTGCATAGACATTAAACATTGGAAAAACTTTAAATTTTTTTTAGTAATAAAAATGAACTCTAGTATAGTCATGATAAAACATTACTGAGCAATAAAAATTAACAAATCACATTTTTTTTTTGCAATAACTTGGATAAGTCTCCAGAAAAAAATAAACCTGTCTCTGGCACAAAATTATTGCTGGTGCTCTGTCTCTGAGCACAGTGGAAATACAGTTCTTGTTTGTCTTCACGCTTCAGCGGTAGCAGAAGTGGTGTGAGACTTGGTGGCAACCATTCTCTCTTGTTCTGCAGTCTTCTCTTCAGTGTTTTCTTGGGGTGGAGGGTCCTATGTTTGGACTCTAGTCTTCCGTGGTTGCTCTTCAGGAAGCCTCAGTGACTTCAAAGTTCCCATGTTCCATAGTTCTGCTGTGCATGCTGTCTTGACTTGAAGCAAAACTGCCTGCCTGCCTGCCTGCCTGCCTGCCTGCCTGTCATCTCATCTGTTGGTAGTAACTTACCTCTGTAGTCTTGTGTGTACCGGGCTGGATCTGTCTAGGCAAGGAGAATAATTCTTTTTTTGGGGGGGGGGGATTAAAGGCGTGCACCACCATTGCCCAGGGAGATCTGATGCCCTCTTCTGACCATGAACACACATGGTGCAGCTACAGTTATTCAGGCATAACACCCATAGATACAATGTATTTAAAATAAAACAAATAAAACTAGACATTGAAAGCATGGGCTCCTATTACCAGCTTCTTACTTGGGGTGCAAAGATTTGTTACTTCTAAACTTATAATAAAGTAGGTAATAAAATATTATTATATTAGGGTCTGACTCCTAGCACCATACACATAAAAATTAATTATTGCAGTATAATAATTTGTAAAAAAAAGTCACAAAGACAAATTCTAATATCTATAACCCTGTAACCCAGAAATAATCAGTATGTCTCATAGAAACACTTAGAAAGAAACACACACACACATACAGCTTTTTTGGAATGCCAGAATGATTGTGAACTGTTTTGTTTTAATATTGTGTGTCTCTGCATGCATGTGTGTGGACAGAAGACCTCCTTGTCCTGGAGCTCACTAGTTCGGCTACACTGGGCGTCCCAGGGATCTGCCCATCTTTATCTCCCCAGCACTGAAATTTCAAGCATAGCTACTGTTCCCTGGAGTTTTACTTGAGTTTTAGGGATCACACTCTCAAGTCCTTAACTTACTATCTCCTAGTCCTCAAACTCTTGATTTTCCTGCCTTAGCATTCAAATGCTGGGATTGTGTGTGTGTGTGTGGTGTCTGTGTATCTGTTTCTTTTTTGTTCTGTTTGTTTTACTGTATCTTGATACGTAACTGGGGTTGGGCTGGCATTTACAGTGTAGCCCAGGCTAGCCTGTAATTTACAGCAATTCTCCTGCCTCAGCTTCCAGAGTGCTGGGTTTGCAGGTATGTACCACTATGTCCAGCTTGTGTATCTGTTTTGATAGCATACTATGTGATGGAGGAGGGTCATCTGTCTATGTATTACTCTCATTGGTTAATAAAGAAACTGCCTTGGCTTTTTGATAGGGCAGGATTTAGATAGGTGGAGTAGACAGAACAGGATGCTGGGAGAAAGAAAGCGTAGTCGGTCAGACGCCATAGCTCTCCTCTCCGAGATGGACGCAGGTTAAGAATCTTCCCGGTAAGCCACCACTTCGTGGTGCCATATACATTAATAGAAATGGGTTAATCAAGATGTGAGGGTTAGCCAATAAGAGGCTGGAACTAATGGGCCAAGCAATGTTTAAAAGAATACAGTTTCCGTGTAATTATTTTGAGTAAAGCTAGCCGGTGGTCGGGAACTGAGCGGCCCGCAGCTCCCTACTACAGCTATGCATTCTCTTTTCATTGTGTTGTGGCACTAGGGTTCAAACTCGGGGCTTCTGGATGGTAGGTAAGCACTCTACCACTGAGCTACAGCTTTTTTTGTCAACGGGTGTCACTGATCTTGAACTCTCAGAGATTTTCTTGCTTCTCCCTCCTAGGTGCTGGGGTTAAAATCATACACCACCTTATCCTGAAAGTTACTTCTTTTTTGTTTTTTACATCCTTTTTAAAAGAAGAACTTTAGGCCCTGCATGATGGCTCAACAAGTAGAGACACCTGCCAAGTCTGGTAACTCAAGTTCCCACGTTTTCTTCTGAGCTCCACCTGCACATCATGCCATGCCTGAGCACATAAATGCACAGATACAAATAAGTGTAGAGTTGGGTTTTGTTTGTTTTCCTTTCAGATACACTATAGTAAAAGTTTAATTAACTTCATTGCTTTTTCTTCCTGCTTCTAGTTGCTGGGCATATTGGATTCTCCCCGTGGTGGGCGCCATTCTTGTAGGGTTCCTGTATCGTCACTTCACCACCGACAGCAAATCCTCCTGAGGCGACCATGTTGGAGTGTGGGAGCACATGCTCCTGGAGCGAGAAGTAGACACTTACTGTGGAGGCTGCAGCAATGCTCCCTTCTTAAATCTTGCCAGTTGTTTTCCTCCCCACTTGGAGCCAAGATGGTTGACCAGATATCTATCCTCCTCAGTCTAGGACCAGGGTCCTTCACCAGCCAGAGCCTGATGCCCAAAGCTCTTACTCACATTGTGTCCTTGCTAGGGTTTCTTCTCACTGGCTTCCACTTGTTTCCTTCATTTCAAGAGTTTATGCCTATAATTAGAGTTCTGATGTTGTAGTGACATGGCCTTTGGGGACAATATATGATTTCTCTTACTTTGACTTTGCATTAGATATATTTAAGGGAACAGCACTCTAATTTTGAATCTTTTCCCAATTTTTTTGAAGTAAATTTATTTTTTAATTCTGATTTAATTTTGTCTTTATCATAAGGAGTTTAATTCGTGAAGTTAAGATATGTCTCTCTTATTTAAATCATAGCTCCCAAATGATCTTATTTATGATTATTAAAAGTAAGGGACCGAAAGCTATGTCATTGGATAAAAGCAATTGCCACAAAGCCTGATGACCTGAGTTTGATTTTCTGGACCCACACGGGTAGGAGAGAAGCAGTTACCAGAAGCTGTCCTCTGGCCTCCACACACATGCTGTGGCCCTAGTGCACACACACACCTGTTTATACACACAGGTGCACACATTCGGACAGAGCACACACAGGCACAAGTGTGCACTAAACAAATGTAATTGTTAAAAAGTATACAAAAAAATAAAAATTAAAGAAAAAGGACTATGTGGTTTTCTCCCTCCCAGTTAGTGTAGCTGATGGCTCCTCTTGTCCCTAAGTCTGGCCCCTTTCTTCCCAAGAATACTTTATAAAACTCTGCATCCCTTTGGTTTCTCAGGTGTAGAAGAGCCAAAGAAGGGATCGGCGAGTTAAGGTGAATTCAGAATAATCTCTTTTAAAAGAGAACAAAGCACCACTTACAGGACAGCAGTTAAGACACCAGTTTCCAGCCATCTTCACCCTGGCTGTCTTTGCTAGCGAAAGATGAGTCTTCCCATGGCACTTCACTAAAGCCTGGGATGCTGCCCCTGGGGCTTCATGGAAGGCTCTCGTTGCCTTTTTATTTACTTATTAACAAATGTTTGATTCTGTTTTATCAAAGTAAGAGACTTAAGTTTGGTCTTTTCTCAGTAAAATAACTTCCATGTAAATGTCATTGTTGGGGCATGCCACTTCAGATCCGGAGACCTTGCCAAGAGACTTCTGTTTTCATCTGTGTTTACCTCCATGGCTCCAACATGGTGATTTTGTTCTGCTTTTCTTCTGAGGATTATAGTGATAAATCTGGACGCTTTTTCCCCTCCCTTGGATATGTATTTCATTGGAAAGTAATCATTTAAAATTACTGTTTTTCATTGGTTCAGGCATTTTCCTGGCATCTTTGACTTTATTCGTTTCCCTGTGGTGATACCTGAGTTTCCCAGCTATTTTTTTTTTTTTACCCATTATCTGTGATTGTCCTCCACATTCTTTGTTCATTACCAGTCTGCTTCCGGGCCTTTGTCATATCTAGCAGGAAGCCATTGAATTCTAAAAGGACCAGAGATGCTGGGAAGTGTCTCCTGCCTCCCTTCCAGCTTGTCATGGGGCTTGACAGTACAGGAAACTGCACATTAAACCAGTCTGCCCATGCAAACTATTTAAGAAAAAGTTCAGGCCAGGATTTCTATCCTGAGATTCAGCAGTTGAATGAATTCAGAATTCATCAAAATAACATTAGCCTTTTCCTTGCGTACTTGGATATGATACGTTAGAGTAATTTCTAGATGACTTTTATGTATCAGGGATACAGACCTAATCAAACTTCTGTCTTTAATAATGTCTGTAATAAGCCGGGCGGTGGTGGCGCACGCCTTTAATCCCAGCACTCGGGAGGCAGAGGCAGGAGGATCTCTGTGAGTTCGAGACCAGCCTGGTCTACAAAAGCTAGTTCCAGGACAGGCTCCAAAACCACAGAGAAACCCTGTCTCGAAAAACCAAAAAAAAAAATAAAAAAATAAAAAATAATAATGTCTGTAATATACGAGAGTGAAACTCTAGTTTCTCTGTAACGAAAGTGGCATGACTGACACCTCCGCTAACGGCAAGGAAGGGTGTGCAGTGCGGCTTGGGGGCCCCTTGCTGTGAGAGCCAAGCTACGTGGGATGTGTTGGGTAGATGGAAAGAATAAGGGCCCATTGAGGTACAGGAAGGGAGCATTCAAGCTAACCTAAGCCTGAGGATAACTTGGGTCAGTTGTGAATGTTTCTTGGCATCTCTTCACATCCAGTGAAAAACATCTGATTATAGAAAATGTTAAGGACTGTTTTTGGCTGGTCAGTGGTGGTGCACACCTTTAATCCCAGCACTTGGGAGGCAGAGGCAGGCAAATCTCTGAGTTCAAGTCCAGCCTGGTCTACAGAGTGAGTTCCAGGACAGCCAGAACTATATAGAGACCCCATCTCAACACCGTCCACAAAAAAGAGCTGTATTTTTTTTTTTAAGTAAAATTGGTGTTTTGGTATTTCTATGGTAAGCATCAATACAAAAACCGTGCTTTTTTATTTCATGTCTGTGATTCCCCTGCTTTTATTTGAGCTGTTTTACTGAGTGCCCAGAGGAAAAGATTTTTATGCTTTCATCTTTGCCATTTATGAAATCCATATAATACCCAGGGCTTTTTTTGAACTACTGATAATATGATGTCATTTTATATTACATATATAAAAAATGCTGCTTCTTTTTTGGCCAGGCATAGGGGCATGTGACTTTATTCCCAGCACTCAAGAGGCAGAGGCAGACAGTTCTTGAGTTCTAGGTCTGCCTGGTCTGCATAGCAAGCTCCAGTCCAGCCAAAGCTACATAGTGAGACTCTGTCTCAAAACAAAACCACGAAACCACTTTCATGTCTGTTTGCTGTAATTCTGTTACCTACATAAACGGGGGGGGGGGGGTAGGTCTTACGTGAGAGTTTGTTGAGGCTTTTCCTCAACAAGGCAATACAGCATGTGCACCAAATGCATTATAAAACCCTGAACTTGTCAAAGAAGCCTTAACATTTGTGGGCCATGCAGACTATCATTGAGAGCAAGGGGAACTAGTCCCTGTTGGCTGACAGCACCCCCTACCTGTGGGGTGGTTTGTTGTTAATTCTTGAAGTGGCCAACTGCCCCCACACACCATGCAAGTTAACAGCTGGTGAGCACAAAAGAGGGAATTTGTGCTACCAAGACCCAGGGTGTTAATGCCCATTCTGTAAACGTTCCTACCTGGCCCTGGGAGCTGGTTTTCCTTTCTGAGTGACTGCACGTCTGTAAAGAAAGCAGTGGGACAAAGCTTATGATCTGTGTTTGCAAACTTCTTGTGTGATTACTTAAGCAGAGACAAGTCTGTCCAAAACTGTCCTTTGAGCTGCTAGGCTCTTTGAGCAGCTGCCACTGTTGCTTATGATGCTGGGTTGTGCTCATTTAGCTGCTGAGGAGCAGTGAAAAGTGCTTTGACGAGCTGGATGTGTCGTCACGCATGGCGTTCATCCTTCATCCCAGGTGATGCCCATCAGGCTGAAGTCCACCTGAGGTGACTGAAGCACAGAGCATGAATGTTCTTTGCCTCCTACCCCAAGGGAAATGGATTCAGACATGTCATGTCTCAACAAGAAACTGAAGTTTTGAGGCTGTGGGATGCAGTTGCCAAATATCCCAAAAGTAACAAAGAGCTCCGTCACATTTGGCCAACTTTGGAATTCGTGGGGGTGATCTAGGAGGGGGGCTCTGAAGAAGCAGAGATGTGTCTGTCAGCCACCTGCCTTATGCCCAGTATCTTACTCATGGATTTCAGTGGCCACCCGTTGCCCACGCCTACATCGCCTACACTGGCAGTTTGGGCAGAACGTCATTTCAGTTACTTAGCTCACTTTTTACTGCACCCTCAGCTGCAGGTGACTAATGGTAACATTCCTTCTGTGTATTCAATGATGGAGTTTGTTTACCTATTTGATTGCAGCTTATTTTGAACAAAGATCTTTGTCTCTTTCTACTGGAATGTGCACACAGTGAATGTTTGTTAGAACTACACAATAAAGACACTGTTTTCATTTTCTCGTCCTGACTACAGTTGTTTTTTTTTTTTAATCAACTTTTTTTTTTTTCCTTTTTTCTGAGACAGGGTTTCTCTATAGCTTTGGAGCCTGTCCTGGAACTAGCTCTAGTAGACCAGGCTGGCCTCGAACTCACAAAGATCCGCCTGCCTCTGCCTCCCAAGTGTTGGGATTAAAGGCGTGCGCCACCACCGCCTGGCTTTTTTTTTTTTTTTAAAGACATGTTGGTGCTGTACTTCTGAGGTACACTGAATGTAACAGTTGGGGTGCACAAAGTTGTTCTGTATCTCTGCCAACATTTGTTTAAAACGAGTTAGGTAGTGCAGTGGCTCTTGAGGGCTCTGTGTTGGAGGTGGACCTCTCATTAGATATTTTCAAGATACAGCTACCCAGGTCCTGCCATGGAAGGGCTGTGAAGTAGGAACCAGAAAACAATTTGGAGTTACATTTCTACTGGTAAAGAAAAGCCAACATGAGGTAATGTTTTGTTATCTGTAATGCTGGGCCTCAAATGATTGTTTTTCTTGGAACTAGCTAAACTGTTGGGGAAATTTAAACACAGAGGTTGAGGCTCTAGTGATTGTGTGAAGCAAGGGAAATAAACCATTTTAATAATTACTTCTATCACACACTGATAGCCTTCTAGCATGACCAACAGCAGGTCAGAGCACATCACTCATTAGGACCTGGTGATTCCACTACCGCAGGAATCAAGGATTAGTGACAGGAAGGGATAGCCCCATTCTTAATGCCAACATTTGAACCTAATATTTAATCTCTGATACTAATAAGAATTCATTATCAGGTACTCTTCCTGCTGTTTTGTAGTTGCGTGACAAATCTTGTTTGATGCATCATAATTTGAGACTGATTCCATTTACAAAAAAAGGTAAGAAAGCCCTACATAATTTATTTCAGTCTGGAAATAGCGTATATCTGACAGCATTTAGCTAGGTAGTTGTCTCTTCTGTGTACTTAAAGCCTACTCATTTTAGTCACTTAGACGTTTTCTTCCTTTTTCTTTTCTTTTTTTAGTTTTTCGAGACAGAGTTTCTCTGTGTAGCCCTGGCTGTGTTGGAACTTGCTCTGAAGTTACCCTTACCCACAGATCTGCCTGCCTTTGCCTCTCAAGTGCTAGGATTAAAGTCATGAGCCACCACTGCCTGGCTGTGGGTCGGTTGGTTTGTTTTACTTACGTGCATTTTGAAAACTTAATTTTTGAGGCCGGAGAGATGGCTCAGCAGTTAATAGTACTGGCTGCTCTTCTAAAGAGCCTAGGTTCAAGCCCCAAGTACAGACAACTTACAGTCCAACATCCTCTACTGTCACTGTCCGTATGTGATGCAGACAATATACAGGCAAAACACCCATACACATAAAAGAATTTGAAACTAGACAAAAAACTCAGTTCTTTTATAAAGCACTAAGAAGAGACTACTTTGTTTTTCTAATGAATTATGAATGCAGTTGTAATTATCGTCTGTGTGACACCTGCTGTGTTGTTACCAAGTGAATGATGGCTCCAGATGGTTCATCTTTATTCTTGATTGTTTTTTTTTTTTTTTTTTTTTTGAGATAGGCCTTTCTCTAACTTTTAAGTCTGTCATGGAACTAGCTCTGTAGACCAGGCTGGCCTCGAACTCACAGAGATCTGCCTGCCTCTGCCTCCCAAGTGCTGGGATTAAAGGTGTGCGCTGCCACACCTGTATTCTTTATTCTTACTGTAGTTCCCGAGTGAAATGGAATGTCCAGGTTTTTCAGATTTTACTATTCAGTCAGAAAGTCACGGGGGTAGGGAGCAGAATTTGAACCTGGCTAGCTGGTTTTTTTTTTTTTGTTTGCTTGTTTTGTTTTTGCTTTTTAAGACAAAGCCTAATCATGTAGCCCAGGATGGCCTCTGAACTCAACATCCTTCTTCAGCCTCCCTACTGTTGGGATCATAGATTGATGCAATCACCTGTTTCTGTAGCGATAATAGGCTTGAAATAACTTAATTTTCTTGCAAAACAGTTATTTTTTCTTCTGGTTCTGGGGATCCAGCTAGGGCTTTCATACACGCCAGCAAGTACTTCACCACTAAGTGGCATCTGCAGCCCCTGTGTTTTATTATTTAAGAATCTTAGCCGGGCGGTGGTGGCGCACGCCTTTAATCCCAGCACTTGGGAGGCAGAGGCAGGCAGATCTCTGTGAGTTCGAGACCAGCCTGGTCTACAGAGCTAGTTCCAGGACAGGCTCCAAAACCACAGAGAAACCCTGTCTCGAAAAACCAAAAAAAAAAAAAAAAAGAATCTTGCTGTACTCCTAAGCTGGCCTAGAATTTCAGCTCTCCCACCTCACGCATTTGCAAGCTTATGGTTAAGAAGTGTTCATATAGAATGGTATCAAGGAAATACTCTGACTATCCAGATGAGTGCCTGTAGCTTCAACTTGGGAGGTTGGGGAAGGAAGATCTTGAATTTGAGGCCAGCCTAGGCTTTATAGTAGAAATCCTACCAAAACAAAGCAAATACCCCAAGTTGATGTCCAAGGATATGTGTTCTGTACTTAGAATAGGCTTAAGGTAAATGCTGCAGAAAAATTGCTGCCTGCAGGAGGAGAGAGGAGCCATGTGGGCCTGCTGTGTAAATGTGCAAACCCATCCTTATTTAAAATGAGAAAGGAAGCAGTCGCAAAAGCAACAAAAGCACATTGTTTTCAAGGTGGAGCTAAATACTACAAGAAACCCTAACAGGGTTGAAAAGCTTTCCTGTGGCTCAAGAATTGGGAGACAGCATAGTGGAGCACACCTACATAGAAAGTTCTAGGCCAACCAGGGCTACACAGTAAGACCCTGCCTAAAGAAAAAGGGGTGTGTAAAGTTCTCCATAGCATCAGAACTATTAAAATGCATTTATTATATTATCTACATATGTAAAGGGGATTTATTAGAATGGCTCACAGGCTGTGGTCCAGCTCATCCAACAATGGTTGTCTAACAACAAAAAGTCCAAGAATTCAGTGGTTGTTCAGCTCACAAGTCTGAATGTTTCAGCTGGTCTTCGGTATATGCTGGAATCCCAAAGTAGACTCTAATGCCAATGAAGGAATGAACTTGCCAGAGAAAGGAAGCAGGCAGGCAGGCAGACAGTTCCTTCTTCCACGTCCTTTATACAGGCTGCCAGCAATGAAGGAATGAACTTGCCAGAGAAAGGAAGCAGGCAGGCAGGCAGACAGTTCCTTCTTCCACGTCCTTTATACAGGCTGCCAGCAGAAGGTATGGCCCAGATTAAAGGTGGGTCTTCCCACCTCAAAAGATTCAGATATAGGGTGGGTCTTCCCATTTCAAATGATTTAATTCAGAGAAATCCCTCACAGCTGTGCCTTACTGCTTGGGTTTTAGTAATCCCAGATGTAGTCAAATTGACAACCATTGCCAACTTGACACACACAATACCTCCTTATAGGGTAACCTGGGTGTGGTGGCAAACCCCTTTAATCCCAGCATTTAGGAGGTGGAGGTTGGAGGATCAGAGTTGAAGATCATCCTCAGCTGTATAATAAATTAGAGATCACCTGGTTTGTATGAGACCTAATTTCAAAAAAGCAAAAATCAGGCTGGGTAGTGGTGGTGCACACCTTTAATCTCAGCACTCAGAAAGCAGAGGCAGAGGGATCACTGAGTTCGAGGCCAGCCTGGTCTACAGAGAGTTCCAGAACAACCAGAGCTGCACAGAAAAATCCTGTCTCAAAAAACAAAACAACAAAAATTGCAAAAATCAAGGCTGGAGAGATGACTCAGTGTTTAAGAGCACTCACTGCCTTTTGTTCAAGAGGACCCACCTTAAATTCTCAGCACCCACGTGGCAGCTCAACAACCAGTCCCAGGGTTCCACCATCCTCTGAGGGCAACAGGCACACACGTGGTGCACACACATGCCTGCAGACAAAACACCTGTGCACATATTATAATAAATATTTTAAAAAATGGCAGGTGAGACGGCCTGGTGGGCAGAAGTTCACGCTACACAAGCCTAACAGTCCATCCTCGATACCTGTGTAAAGGTGGGAGGAGAGCATGGAAATTTGTCCCAGCCCCCACACCTGTGTGTGCCCATGCTCACATATACAGAGTCATAATAAAATAAAAAATTAACAGAACTGGGGAGGTGCCAGCCTGATACCGTAGCTACAATCCTAGCTACTTGCAGGAGGGTTCATGGTGGGTTGCTGTGTAGCTCTCCATGTGGGGGCTTGAAGAACCAGTCTGTTCTAGCGCGAGACCAACATTATTTAACCTTTAGAAATATGTACATGTGTTGCATTGGCTCAAAATAAAATTTTCAAGCTGGGCATGCTAGCTGCTTTTATGTCAACTTGACACAGCTAAAGTCATCTAGAGAGCCCCAATTGAGAAAACGCTTCCATCAGATCAGGCTACAGGCAAGCCTGCAGGGCATTTTCTTAAATAGTGTTTGAGGTGGGAGGGCCCAGCCCATTGTGGGTGGTGCTACCCCTGGGATGGTGGTCTAGGGTTCTATAGAGACCAGCGGAGCGAGCCTTAAGGAGCCAGACGGTAAACTGCACCCCTCCATGGCCTCTCCATCAGCTCCTGCCTCCAGATTCCTGCCCTGTTTGAGCTCCTTCCCTGACTTCCTTTGATGATGAACTGTAATGTGGAAGCATAAGCCAGATAAACTCTTTCTCCTAGTTACTCCCGTGGTCACGGTGTATTCTCACAGCTGTAGGGACCCCGACTGAGACACCGGGCATGCTGCTGCACACCTGTAATCCTAGCCCTGGGGAAGTGGAGAGAGGAAAATGAGAAGTTGAGAGGGATCCTGAGGTACTTAGTGATTTGAGGCTAGCCTGGACTACGTGAGATATGATCTCAAAATCACACGCACTCACATTTTTTTTAGTGAAAATAAGACAAAAAATTGTGAAGTTCAATTTGTCGTGTTTCTGTCTTAGTATAAAGCACATTGGCCAAAATAATATTTTGTCCTGGAGTAAGGCCTACCCCTGAACTGAC